TACATGCATGTGCCAGGAAGCTGAGGTTCCGGTATCTGGTGCTGTCACGCACACAAAGATCAACTGGCCAGCGTGCATGTGCACGCCAGAACCCAGAAGAGCAACAGGCGACGGATGGCATACCCAGAGAGATGGCTCTGAGTGCCACTTCTGGCATGTGTGCCATAGATTCACCATCACGGGCCTAGACAATAGTCTGATAAATGCAATCTGAATCTAAAGAAGGAATGGGGTTGGAGAAAACATCTCAGAAGGGACTCTCCCTAGTTCTCTGGAATGTAAAGGCAGGGGAGGGAGGAAGTGCTTTCAGATTTGCAAGCCGTTTGAGGTAGTCTAGACACAAACCAAAACCATGAATACTCATACTAGTTTTACTCTAAGTAATTACAGTAATAGAATCTTGTTCTGATAATTTTCACAGAATCTTATTAAGGTTTTGGAAAAACAGTATATAACCATTTCTCTTTCTTCTTACACCTGCACATTTATTCATTTTCTGAAAAGCTCTTGAAACATATCCAGTCTCTGAAATTTTATCTGAATACTGCTTTCGAATTTGTATGCATCACTGGTGTACATCCGTTTTGTGCATTTTCAGTTCCCAATGACATTGTGCACACAGACATGAATTATAGATTAGAGATAGGTGATGTACTATGTCTGGTTAGCTTAATTTTGGATACTGTTTCTGGCCCATATAGCTTGCCTTAACATCTATGGACCTGACCAGAATGTAAATTTTGGCTTTGTTCTAAGCTCATCATAGATAGTGCTTAACACACACTTCTTCAGCAGCCATTTAAAGTTACAACAGTGCTGAACAAGATGATGTTATGACAGGTCCTCACAACATGTCCTCATAGCTGCAACTGACACGACACCTCTGCAATCATGTGATCACAATGTGGGTGGTTTGCAATTACAACACTGCAGTGTCATGCGGTAACGATTGCCATTTGCGACCTTCACTGCCAAAGTCCCACAACTAAAGTCAATGGGGAAACCAGCAGGAGGGAAACCAGCAGGAGGCAATCATGTGACAAAATACTTGGTAAATACATCTCTCTGGGTCTGGCAGTACCTCTCTCTAGGTCTGCAACTGTGTGGAATTCGTCTAATCATGGCAACTGGAATTGCCACAACTGCCATCATAAATCACCATGGTCACTGTGCCTTATGACTATTTTGCTTAACAACAGAGTTCCTAATCTCAATTATTATTGGTCAATGAGAATTGCTGGAAATAAGAAGTGGTGAGCGCATGGCTAAGTCCCTCCTTCTTTTCCTACTTTGATTTTGAAACTGTCACCAATCCTCCTGAGTTGCTTCTGCTTTACTTATTTTCCCTCATTTCCTGAAATGTGACCTTAACAGTCCAGAGAAAGGAAGAGGTTTTCCTTCTGCTTTTCCTATCAGATACTCCTCAGGAAGAAGACCTCCATATTTTTAAACTCAGGATCTGCAGGACGTCTGTTTTTTTTTTTTTAATTTGATTTATATGCTGCCCTTCTCTGGAGACTCAGGGTGGCTTACAATGCGTTAAGCAATAGCCTTCATACTTTTGTATATTTATACAAAGTCAGCTTATTGCCCCCACAAACTGGGTCCTCAATTTACCTACCTTAGAAAGGATGGAAGGCTGAGTCAACCTTGAGCCTGGGGAGATTCGAACTTGCAGTAATTGCAGGCAGCTGAATGATAATAGCAGGCTATTAGTCTGCTGCGCCACCAAGCTCTTATTTGTATTTGTATGTCCAGAGAGTTAGCAGTTAGCAGGAAGAGAGTTGGCTTTACATGGCGATCACATTGGCTGCTACCATGTTTTTTAGAAGACACTGAGGGAAATGAAAAAAATTTATAAATACTATATAAAGTATGTAAGAAGTCACTCACTTGAGTATCCCCCCCTTGCCCAAAAGCCATGATAATAATCTGGTTTGCACTAAACTATTTCCTAACCTTTTGTATATATTTAATTTTGTTCCGTTGCTGTATTTTAAGAACAAATAGTTTAGTTATCCATCTGCTAGCTGAACTTGTTGCGTTTTTTAAATTGCTGGTGCAAACATAAAGAAGGAAGTTATATGAGATAACAGATTAAATGCTCAGGAGAACTGTTGTGTGGCTGAAATTTTGATTGGTATTTAATGTAATTGGCCATACATCTTCTTCTTGCTGTTTATATTCTACTTGGGACTTATCTTCCAAATTCATGTTAATTACTTCATTCCCCCCTTTCAAACAAAATTTACAGACATGAACAAACACAAGCACTCTGCTAGGAAGGTGACCTTGTTCTCACAAACAGGATGCTGGGGATTAATTTTAATGTAACACTGTTCTGTATGCCTTACACAACTTCCAGGACATAAAGATGGCAGGGTTAAAGAAAAAAAATGGATGAGAATAAGCAACAAATAGTTGGCTTGCAAAATATTCTTGAAGAAATACAAACATTATAATTATCTGAGGTAAAAAAGCTGGTGAACTCACCCTGAGCATGCCTGATAATCCAAGTCCTTTCATGTCTACTTAATTCAGAAAGCATTTGTAATACATTTCTGGTTAATCTACTTCCAGATTTCATAGGTTGACACTATAGAGGAGCCTTCCTCCAACCTGTTAGCCTCTCTCTCAGGTTTCTCAGTTGATTTACTCAACAATAACCATGTTGATTGGAAGTTTTTGGATTCACCATCTGGTACATTTGGAAGAGCAGCAAGTTAGCTACTGAACTATTGCAACTTTTACTGTTGTGTAAATAGGATGTGATGCGACTCATTTTGTATTTCTGTAAGAATGAAAAAAAAAGTAGCTTCCCAGATTCATTGTCCTATGCAGGTATTTCTTTTTCACCTCTAAAAGATAAAATTCTGGTAATGGAGAGGGACCCATATGAGCTAGGAAGGTCACAAAAGATAAAGAAGATGGTCCTAAATAGAAATTCATCTTTTGTTTTCCTCTTCTTTTAAGTATTGAGCCAGACACATTTCTGGCTTTTTGCCAGATTTTGATTTCACTTAATTGCTTTGCTCTTCTGGGGATTAGAATCATTGGGATTTATTGGAGATATAAAAGGGATAGGTAGTCTATCTATATATACATATGAAAGGTTGCCACATAGAAGAAGGTTAAGTTCCTGTTCTCTCACCTTCCAGAATGCAAGACATGGCATAATGGACTGAAGGCTAGAGAAAAACCTCGGAATAATAAGAGCAATTCAGCTTTGTAACTAATTGCTCAGGGAGCTGTTGTGCCATTTTTTTTCCCCACTGAATATGTTGAAGCAGAGCCTAATACCCATGCTCCTGAGATGCTATATTTTGAATTGCTACTTTGAGCAGGGTTGGACTTGATCTAAATGCCCCTTTTGCCACATTATTCTGTTGGTCTGTCATCTTGCCCATAGGGTTTCCTTGTTTCTTCGAATCTCCTTTATTTTCATGGAGCAAAACGTTAGTTGTTGTTGCTGGTGGATGAGACAGAGAGCAGGAAGCACTGATCTTATGGGAGCACTGAATTGAAGGTATGGCATGCAGTCTCCTTGTTGAAGACGTGATGTGAAATTTCCAGGTTCACTTTGTCACTGTTAGGTCTGTGGGTTGCTCTACCCCAATCTGCTAGCCCCAAAATATTGAATGTTTCAGGAAGTCAGCATCGTGCAAATTAGATCATTTTAATAAAATAATTACGTTGATTAGTCTGCCATTGTATCCCATTCTAATATCATTTGAAAATTCTGGGTTTTTTTAAAAAATGTACTCTTCATAAGTCTGTTTACATTTTAAGAGCTGAACAACAGTACTTAAAATATGACAGATTGATTTAGATGGCCAGCTTTTTAAAGATCAGAATGCTTGAACTCATTTATATACTCACTGTTATAGCACTGAATTCCAAGTAATTATATCAATTCGATAAAGAATCCTTGTCATTAATTCCTAATAGGGATCAAAGGGATTTTCCTAGTTCCGAATAATCCAGGCCCATAATGATACACAGCTAGTTCTCGATTTATGACCACAATTGAGCCCAACATTTATGTTGCTAAGTGAGATATTTGTTAAATGAGTTTGGCTCCATTTTACAACTTTTCTTGCCATAGTTGTTAAGTGAATCACTGCAGTTGTTAACCTATTAAGATGGTTGTTAAGTGAATATGGCATCCCCATTGACTTTGCTTGTCAGTCACATGTTCCCAAACACTGTAACTATTGTAAATATGAGTCAGTTGCCAAGCTTCTGAAGTTTGATTATGTGACCATGGGAATGCTGCAACAATCATTAGTGTGAAAAAAGTCACTTTTTTCAATGCTGTTGTAACTTCAAACAGTCACTAAATAAACTGTTGTAAGTCAAGGACTACCTGTAATAATAGTGCCAATTGAAAGGAAAAATCTGTTTGAAGAAAAAGCTTCTGAATTTACATTTTGCTATATTATGTGAATATGAAGCTGTTCCTGTTTATCTTTTTAATGATTCACACGGATTATTATGTCACATAGGTTCATTATTCTGCTTGTTTGGTCACTGGGGTCTTTTTTATTGTGGCTGACAGGAAGGATGTGCACTTTGACAGTTTTGTAGGCTGCAAATTATATGTTTATGGCCTGCTGAGAAGGTGAACAGAAGACAATTCTGCTTCTAGCTTTAAATATACAGGAATATTTTGAATGTGTTGAAAAGAAATTTATAGAGCTTTAAGAAGAGGGAATAGTTTCACAAGATACTAATAGCTTCCCCCCCCCCCTTTGTAAGAAAGTAAAAAAAATTAAAGCCACATTTTAACCCGGTTAGACCGTATACAGCATTATGTAGTCCCAAGTCTGTTGCATAGTGGAACTTACTCCTATTGCAGATTTCTGCACCTCCTAAAACACCTCACCGAGGTACTCTGAGACTCAGGAAGAGGAGAGAATAACTGAAAATCAAGCAGGCACAGTTTGCTGGAGTCCTTTGGCAAAGATCCACAGATATTTATATATTTTATTTCTCATTAGCTGAAGAAGATTCACAGCAGCAGTCAAGCTTTCCACTTCCCAGATGAGCCAAGCGTGATTCCAGCTTCATTCTATCTTCTTGTAGACGACATGAATTATTCGCTGTTCCTGTAATCACCACTGTGGTTCCATCAGTGCCTGTACTGCAGATAATTTGACAGCTACTAATGGCTATCTTTATCAGGTACTTTAAATAGGCAACTTGTTAAAACCGGGGGAAAGGCTTCATCTTCCTCCTATTCTCAGCAGTTGTGGAAAATGATGTATGAGGCAAGGATAACTCAATATCTTTATGAGTAAACAGAAGCAGCTGTTTTGCTCTAAGCAATAAGTCACTCATGGTTTATAGTAATAAAATAATAGTTCATTGGGAAATAGAATGACAGCCCAAATCAACTATATTGGCAGCAAACAGCTACAGTTTGCCATTAAATAACTTGGTGCACATCAAAATATGCAACTCTGCCTACATGTGTTAAGCCAAGAGCGAGGAAGTGTCAGCCACAAAATTAGTTCTTTTCCTTCCATATCACTTTCAGAATGCTATTGTGCCAAATCATAGCAATTCAGTCCTTGCAATGCTTTTTTTTTAAAAAAATGAATTCTTTAGTCCAATATTTAAAAATATTTGCATTTTCCTGACCATAAGCAAGATTAGTCTGCACTATTAATCTTCTCACCGTTCCCACCACCCATCTCCTTCCACTTATGACTGTAGGACTGTAACTTTATTGCTTGTATCCTTACGATTTATATTGATATTGTTTCCCGATTGCTTATTGGTTCCCTATGACTATCATTAACCCTGTTATTAACACAGCTGCCTGCAATTTCTGCTGGTTCAAATCTCTCCAAGGCTCAAGGTTGACTCAGCCTTCCATCCTTTCTAAGGTAGGTGAAATGAGGACCCAGTTTGTGGGGGCAATAAGCTGACTTTGTATAAAATATACAAAAGAATGAAGGCTATTGCTTAACGCATTGTAAGCCGCCCTGAGTCTCCGGAGAAGGGCGGCATATAAATCAAATTAAAAAAATAATAATAATAATTAAGTGTTGTACCTTATGATTCTCGACTAATGTATCTTTTCTTTTATGTACTCCGAGAGCGTATGCACCAAGACAAATTCCTTGTTTGTCCAATCACACTTGGCCAATAAAAAATTCTATTCTATTCTTTTCTATTATTTGATCAGTTGATAAAAGTTATGCAGCTGATCTTTGCCTGGCACTAAACCCCATTGAGCTTTGTCAGATTTACTTCTGAATAGATATCCATAAATTTGTGCCAGGAAAGCTATTAACATCAGGCCCTGTTGCTGATATATGTCATCACCAGGTAATGAGTTTCCAAGGAGTGTAAACCATCCTCGCAATTGTGTTTTGTCACACTACATGTGTTAATTAGTTCATCCCTGCAAGAATGCCTCTGTTACAATCCCACAATTGCTTTGTGGTGAGCCTTTGTAAAGAATACAAGCATCACTGCCTTGAATTTTTTCCTATTCTCCACCCCAAACCTCATTGTTCACTTCCAAGAGCAACTGTCCAGAGAAGTTGCAAAAGCTTTTAAAACGACTTTAGTTGTTTTACAAGAGATGTTTGTATATGTTCATTGGGAAGCCTGCTTTCAAAGGCTTTTGCCTGAATCTTACTGTTTCTAAATTTTAATTTCATCGAGAATGTTGCTTTTTCGATTTGCCTACCTCCATCCGCCTTCCAGCTTATTTGCTTTCCATTGTCCATAAAGTCATTTCAGTATAGTTTTTGCCACATTGTGATATCTTCAAAGTTTTTGCAAATAATATTCTTCATTCATCTACTATTGTTTAGCTCTGTGGAATGATTTCCAGCTTTAAATACTAGGTTATAATTTTCAGCAGCTCTTGATTAGGATAGAAATCATATTTCATGTTTCATTGACAACTGACTTTTGTGGGCAGGATGCATAATGTTCCCAAACAATATTGATACAATCTGTTTTCAGTTATTACTTTACTTGTACATAATACATCAAGATATTCCACAGCAAAACTCAATTCATATCTGTTTTAATAGCATTAGCCGCAGGCAACTATGATAACACAGCTATGCTGTAATTTAAATGAACGTAGCAAATAAAAGGATATGGAATAGGAAGAACTGATAAGAATAGAAAGATATTACTGATATTACCTTTTATATCTTTTCTACAAGCCAGAACCATCTCTCTGTCCATAGCTCTGCAGTATTTCAGAAAGAAAAGAAAAAGGACTTTGCTCTTTGAAGCAGAATAAGAACAAAGAAAAACTTCAAACATGTCCAGTTTGCCCTTTGATTAGGGGTTCAGAGAATATGAAAATATTGTGTAAATTTATGTTTTTACTAGCAGTTTTCACAGCCTGAAAAATTTGCTATCTCCTTAGTATGAAAATATGTACTTTCAAAATAAAATGTATTTATTAATAATTTAATAATTTAGCTTGTTATTTTTACTTGGTTGTAAGCTGCCTAGAATTGCCCCTTGGTGACATGAACAGCATATAAATTTAATAAACAAATAATAAGTAAATAAACAAAATGTTGAATCTGGCTATATAATAGGCAATTCTTCTGTGGCAAGGGGAGGAGCAGCTTCCCAACAATTATGTTTTCAATTGTGTTACACATGAAGGCTTTCTAAATTTTCACCGTGATAATAGTGGATTGTGAGAGAAAGTGGAATCAAGACACCTGAATTTAGAGTCTTACTCAGCTACAAATTTTGCTTGGAGTAGTTACACATCAAACTAAGCTGAAGGCCATTTAAGCCAGGACTCCTCCAACTTTTCATCTGATTGACTCCTTCATGAAGTTTCTGATTGTTTATTGATTATATGAATATAATTTAATAGTTGGTGATTTAACTAATACTACTACTGTGTTTTCCCGAAAATAAGACCTATCCAAAAAATAAGCCCTAGCCTGATTTTTAAGTGTGGGCTTAATATAAGCCGTACCCCAAAAATAAGCCCTAGGGAAGAGGTGGGTGTGGCCAGCACAGGAGGCAGCCCAACCACATGTCCCCTCACAAACACAGGCAGTGATCCCTGAGGCTGCTCTTGGCATGGTGGCTCCTTCTCTTCCCTGGTCACCTCATAGAGGTATGGCCCCATCCTGCCCCGCCAGCATGACTCCAGTGGCCACATCTGTGTGTGGGAGGCAGTGTGCAGTGTGATTCAGTGAGCCCTTAATTTCGGCCCCACGGATCAGCAGAGCCAGCAAGGGCCGGAAGCTGCCTCTTGTTCTGTCTCTTTGGGCACCTAAAGGTGTTTATGGCACTCTCTTGCCAGTCCCAGCCCTGCCCGCAGTGCCAGGCAACCTTGCATCTGAGAGCCCCTCTCTTCTGCAGTTCACCTTGTGGCTCTGGAGCAGGCAGAAACCACGGTTTGCGCTCTGCCAGGCCTGGCGCTCGGATCTTACTCAGGCTGCTGCTACCGTATGACGAGGCAGAAGCCCATGCAGCGCGCCTGCGACTGTGAATCGAATTGAAGATTAACCAATAGTAGAGATAATTCAAGGCTGTTCTCGCTGGTGGCTGACCATCCAACTCTGCATAACACTGTCTCTCCTCCAGCCACCTCACCTTCAGGACTAGGAAATGATGTGGAACTCTACAGAAATCCAAAAGGTTAATTGGCCCCAATTGATCTTCCATTATTTATCAACTGCCTTCTGATCCTCACCCTTTTATTGACCCCTTGGATGGTCCCATCAATCATGAGGATACTATTGACCACTGTATACATTTATATATACATTGTGTAGCTGGATTTGTGAAGTGTAGTGATTGGTTTCTCATAATATTCTTAAGCCTCTATTAAGGAAAACCTACTAAATGGACTCATATATTCCTGAATTTCTTGGGAGAAAAATGAAATGCTAATACAAAAGAAAGATAAATGAATTAGAAGTGCTGAGATAACTATAAGCAAGTCTACAGGCTATTAGAGTCTAATATAGAGTCTACTATCTCTTCTGCATGGATTCATTTTTTAATAATTCCAACTGTATATCAGTTTGTGGCTAAGTTTGTATATATGCTAATATGTGTGAACCTAACTAGTGTGATTTGCAAACTATGATTTATGGATTAGATTCAACCAAATGAAATTAAGCAAACTATGGTTCAGCACCTTGTGTGAATATAGCTTGTACGTGTCATAGTTGCCACCATAATCAGATATATATATATATATATTGCGATGCTGAATGAATAAAAAATTAGAAAAAATTATTCTGCAGCAGAATGAAACAGCATCACAATATATTTTTATTATGATAACAGTTCAGAGAATAGGGTATTTAATGGTATATATTTAGCATAACTTGGAGTTATTTTTATTATAAATAGCATATTATTTCAGTGAGCCTCACAATAGCCCTCTAGTATTTCTGTTCTTGTAATTCAGATACGAGACTGAGAGTGAAAGAAAGTGCTTTCCTCAAAATAGAGATAATTGAATTGTTGCATTTATAGGCAAAGTACTTTCTGAATTAAGGGTTCCACATTCTCTTAAGTGTTATGCTTTGTAACTCCATATGTGCTGCACAGCAGATCATTTTAAAGCAGTTCATAACAAACTGGGCATGCTCAAGAAAAGTGATAAGTTCTGACTAATGTATGACTGAAATAATTTTCTGGATTCTGGACTGTTTTATTGGCCTTATACAGAAAAATGAGAGAATGTTCAAGTAGATAGTTTATACCATATCTTTGCATTGGAGCTAGCAAATGTATTCTAAACAGCCTGGTTTTATAATAGCCTCATCTGTTGGTTCTTAGAAGATTGGTGGATGGATCATGCTTGACTTACCACTCTGAAAATACTGTGTTAGTATAGATATCCCCATATGTCATAATATTTTTTGACAACTCTGAAAACCATCCATCCATTTCTTCACTATATTTTGCAAGCTACATTTAAAAATAAAATATAATTCCGAGAATAATGTAGTTGTGCTTATATTTTTAAAATAACTGAAGTCCATTTGATGGTCTATAAAGAGGGACCCCTTAAATTTCTCATTGTCTAACAAAACTAGAAGTGGCATGGAGACATAATAATTTATTGCTTCACATAGGATAGGACTACAGAGGTTTGTCATTTTTATTGAAGAAAGTAGTGTGCAGACTGTGATAGTTCAATATCTGCTATTTGTTCCTGATTTCGTATGTTTGTAGATAGCCCACCCTTCCCTGATCTGCTCACCTGGAAATTTGAAATCTCTATCCATTGAAAGACAGTAGGATGAAGACAGCTATCCATTCCAGCAATCTTTGTTGTTTCCGTGTAAACAAAATAATAATTATTGAGAGAATTGGAAATGAGTAATGGGATTTGACCATCTTTCTAATGTTCAGGCAGAATTAAATCTAATGTGCATATAATATTAGAAATGAAAGGCAGCCAAATTCTTAGTCTTAGTCTTAGAATATCATGCATTCAGCCACCGATTACAAGTATTTTGTCCTTTGAAATTAAGAACAAGACTGCATGCATTCTGTTTGGATTTTTAATTAGGAAAGGGCTGTTTTGTTTCTTTTCTTAGGGCTTGGCAATTCGTATGGCAGCCAATACCGACAATATCATTATCACTTGCCACAAGACTTTCTATTAAATGTAAAAGTGCCAGTGACCAAACTTTCTTGGCCTTTTCATTGAATGGTGATGTAATGAGCATTCTGCAGCTGGAGCCTGGATTCCCACACAGTTGGGTCCAGAGGTCTTCCAACAATTCACATGAAATAATTTCTGCCTTTTTTCCCATCTCTTACATTGTTTTGTTCATGGGATTAACCTGACAGTTGTTAGCCAATGGTCTAAATCTAAAGGAACATTAGGATTGGTGTCTTTATTAAATTGTACCTAAATAGAAAAATTTCATCATATAATCTGATTTTGTCAATGCATTGAGGTGGATGATATGTTGATAAGAATTGTAGCTGCCTAATATATTAAGCAAAATCATAACAACTAAGGGACGTGCAACAGATTGACTTGACTTTTCTTTGTACTGTCAATTTTCTTTTTAAAAGCTAATCCTGGTACTTTTATGTTCTTCAAACCAATTTCTTGATTTTTATCACCATATGGTATTCACTTTGATTTTTCTGTTTTGAAATCCCCCTTCCCCCAAATGCTGATATGTATGCGATGGCTATTTGTACAGTAATCATTATTTTTTTCACTTGCCTTGATGACACAAGCAGAAAGAATGCTTCTTTTCAAGCATTTAAGCATTTTAAGCATTTATTTAGAAAAAAGGACTGACGATAATGGATGTCAACCAGTTAGAGCAAAATATTGCTCCCTAATACTTCCTAATACTCAAGTTACTAATTTGCCTTAGAGGCCTAATGTTCTGTCCTTTTGTGGGAATGTCTTAACCTAATAGGCCCTATGTACAAAGTATTTTCTGGTACCATCTCTATAAGCTTTTTAAGCATTCTATCTTCTGCTGTATTGATGCAATATAATAATCCATAGATAACTTTTGTGTTATCATCTTCTTTATTGTCACTTTTCAATTTAAGGTGCTGCTTATTACTTACAAAGCCCCTCATAACATAGGGACTGGTTATCTGGGAGACCTCCTATCTCCAATTACTTTCTGCCCATCTGGAAAGATCAAGCAGAGTGGATGCCACCAATCAGGACCTAGAAAGGACACACCTCTGTCCTGGCACTTGACATCTTAAGCAGCATCCACCCAGAGATCCATATGATTCTCATGATGGTGATGTTTTTGAAGACCTAGCAGTTCTCTCAAGTGTGGAACTAAGAAGGGTGTCAAGCCCTTTTGTTATGGTGTATGTTTTCTGGATCTGCATTGTTCTTGCTTGCTTGATGTCACAGTTCTTTCTTATTTGTTCATTGTAAGATGCTCAAATCCTGGAGTCATACAGCCTCTAGATTTAATAGAATAATAATTAAAGTAACCATGCATTTATTTTTAGTATCCTGAGTTTTTTGCTTCTTAACAAATCTTCGCAGTTGCTTTTAGGCAGAAGGTAAATGGAAGTTGAGAGAAAGCAGTGGCCTATTAATCTCAAGGTGGATTCAAATAGAGGCCCTGCTATAGTAGATGGCAGCAACCTGTTCTCTGGGCTGATCTGGGATGAAAAAAGCTAAGATGTGTCAAAGCCTAAAGAATGTTAACTAATATATGGTGATGGCTTGCATGTTTACATAGAAAAACCAATCAGTATCTTGGCAATGGGAAATCACTTCTATAATGTTAGCAAAGAAATCACCTTTATGGGATCAGGTATTTACTAGCAGCAGAGCTCCATTCAGGGGAGCCTCTTCCTTCCTTCCTTCCTTCCTTCCTTCCTTCCTTCCTTCCTTCCTTCCTTCCTAACTTCCTTTTCCAGCACAATATAATTGAGCATGATCTTTAATATATTATCCACAAATAACAAGTGAAAAAGCTGGCTTCCAATTCCACTGAAATAATAGAAGCTCTGCAGTGATAGGTTGGATGAGCTTCTGCAAGGCTTCACTTCAATCAAGAGCAAGGAAAGTAGTATTTAGGCAGTTTGACTTGGGCTACAGACAGCAGCTCATTAACTCAATCTGAATAAATTGACTGAGGGAATCAATAGTCATGCTTGGGCATCTTTCGGAGGGCAGCAGAGAGGTTAACGTGGCTGTGATCCAACAAGTTTGCATCTATTCAAAAGAAAAGGTAGGAATACTGAAAAGAGTTGACAATGTATTTATGAATTATAGGTCCTTGCGTAATAACCACAATTGAGCCTGGAATTTTGGTCATAAGTGGTTGTGGTTATTTAAGCAGGTCACCACACAACTTGTCTTGATTTTACAACTCTTTTTATGATGGTCATAAAGTGAGTCACTGTGGTTGTTAATACATTCTCCCAAATGGACATTTTTTTTTTTTGCCTAAACCCAATAAAGAATGTTGCAAATTGTGCTCACATGACCATTGGGACACTGCAACTAGTTGTAAATGCAAACTGGTTGCCAAGTGCCCAAAATATGATTGTGACTACTGGTGGCTGAGGCAGTCATAACTTTGAAGATGGGTCATAAATAATTTGGAGGGGGGAGCAGCATCTGCCATAACTGTGAATGGTTGTTAAGTGACCAATCATTAAACAAGGACCACCTATGCTATTTTAAAAAGTGACAGCAATGCATGTTGGTACAGGTCCTCATTATATCCTTGACAAACAGTAGGATGGTGGTTGAGAGACTGTGCATTACGCCAACCTCACAAGATAACCCATTGTGCCAGGGGAAGTGTGTGTGTGTGAGAGAGAGAGCAAATTGGTGTATCCCAAAATATTCAAGCTTTTATATCACCAAGAGGGTAAAAGGTGTTTCCCTTGTAATTTCTTACAAGGGTTATTGTAAAAATAACAATATTCTGTTATTAAAAGACAGTGCTTCTTAACTCCTAATATGGTTGAATCTTTTTCAACAACAGCAAAAAAAATACTTTCCAATAAAATGTGAAGGGCAGGATGAAAGGGCAGCATTGAAGCTTGAGTTTGAGAGAAACATGGTCAGGGATATTTCTTCACTTTGACTAAATTTAAATCTCCAGGACTAGATTATTTGCATCCTAGGAAACTGGGGGAGCTGTCTAGGTTTTGACCAAACCCCAATGTATTATCTTCAAGGATCTTGGAGAACTGGTGAAGTGCCAGATGTCAGGAAGAGCACAAATGCCCCTATCTATATAGAAAGGGAGAAAAGGGAGATCTAAGAAACTATTTTATTGACTATATATTCTGCAAGCAAAGATAATGAAATTCTATTCAGTTAGCAAAACCAGTGGATTTGAAAGACTACAAACCCAATATAAAACTTTCCAAGATTAACTTCAATGTTTGCCTTTCCCAAATTTGTGCTGCCATTGTACTAATACAAAGATATGTGTGTATTTGCTTTTAAAAATAGATGTTTTATACAGAATATATTACAATATGTTAAATAAAACTGAATATACAGATATTCATGTTATTTATTTATTTTTGCCAAATTCATAACTGTAGCAGAGCAGCATTATTTGAAGATAAGCTATAAAAAATAAATGTATCTGTCTTTCCCTGATCTAGGGCTATTTTCCTGTTGGCTGCGGAAGGCATTTTTATTCCAATTGCCTTTTCTCTTTGAATAGTTTGCTGATGTTCTTTGTTGATGATGATGACGTTTTACTTGTATGATTATTTCGTATTTTATATTCCACTGGTTAGAGTTCTTCAGTGCAATCGATGGTGGGAACTTTTTCAAATGCAAGTGTTTCCTTACATTCATTCATTCATTCATTCATTTATTCCCAGGCTCTGTTGCAATTTTTGGGTGTACCTTTGACTGATGTTATCTGTACTTTCTTTGTTCCAGAAGGGCATGCCCCAAACGCTGAGCTCTGCCAGCATGTTTACTTCCTGTGGCTTCAGCCCTCATCACCTCCACCCCTCCAAAGAAGATGATGAAGGAGGACTGATCTTTCAAGATGGAAACCTTACCTCAGCATCTCTTGATGCTTTAATTCAACACCTTATACCTACAGCTGACTACTACCCTGAGGTAAATGTTTGGTTACTGTGAACTGCCATTTGCTCTGATGAACTGCTAGACTGTCACTTTTTGCAAGCTTTCAACAATCTTTTAATTAGGAAAATTTCTTTTGACGCAAGTTACAAACAAACATATAGGTAGTCCTCGACTTACAACCATTCATTTAGTGACCGTTCAAAGTTACAACTGCACTGAAAAAAGTGGTTAATTGCTGTTATTCACATTTACTACCATTTCAGCATCTCCATGGTCACATGATTAAAATTTGAGCATTTGGCAATTAGCATGTATTTATGATTGATGCCGTGTCCTAGGGTCATGTGATCACTTTTTGCAACCTTCTGACAAAGTCAATGGGGAAGCAAGATTCACTTAACTGGGTTACTAACTCAACAACTCGGTGATTCAGGTAACAACTGGCAAGAAAGGTGATAAAATGGGGCAAAATTCATTCCAAAACTGTCTTGCTTAGCAACAGAAATTTTAGGCTCAATTGTCGTAAGTTGTGGACTACCTGTACAGTAACGTCTTCTGTTCCATTTGCCTTGTGTCGTTTGTGTAGATGTTTACCAGAAATATAAATTGATATGTGTGCACTTTTCTAAGTATCACTGTTATGTAGGGGTTTGGGTTGTTTGTTTTTCATGGCATAGAATTGTTATTCACAATGATAAATTAGTAAACTATCTCCTAACTAGAGAACATCTTAAATAGTTATTGTCCCTAATGTCAGTGGGAACACTGCCAAGAACAAATATGTTTTCAAGTAGCTGAACTTCAACAGTGGATGTTATTCTTCTGTATTAGCCAAAACACAATCCCTATTTCTGAAAAGTTACTATACAGAACATAGCATGATTTATCACTCTTAAAAGACTTCTGTATTGAGAAGTAGACTTCTTGCCCATCCATTTTAAATATTGATATCAGTTGGCCATTGGTTTGCTTGTTTGTATATTTATTTTATAGTACTTATGACCTGTTCCCATCCCAAAAGAGTCTAGGTAATAGAGAATGCCAACAAAAAGAAAACAAGAATTATTCTTAATTGTTAATCCTTGTTAGTTTTTATTTATTTTAAAATCTAATAAAGTTGCTTTAAAAAATTCATACCAAATACACCAATACAGTGTCCCCTGTTTATATTCCATCCAGACAGATTGAGATTGCAACCGCTGTATTCTGTTTCAAAATAAATGAATGACCTTCTGCCTTCGAGAAAGAATTTGGCATATTTAATTCTCTAGCCAGTTGTTGTTAGATCAATGTTCCTGTTTCCTTTCCTCAGAAGGCCTATATCTTCACATTCCTGCTGAGCTCAAGACTGTTCATTGAACCACATGAACTTCTGTCCCGTGTTTGTCACAAGTGCATCGAGCAGCAGCAACTGGATGACCCAGTGCTGGATAAGGTTGGTACATTTGATGATTGCAGGTGCTAAAATGAGTAAGGGTAGCATTCACAGTGTGACAACAGGATTACAGTGAATTGGGAGAAAGCTTCCTATTGTATCTGTTCTCTATCTCCCTTGCTTCATATGTCCCTCTGTCCCCATGGAGAGTTTTCTAATCCTAAAGGTTTGTCATGTTCAAATAGGCCTTCCATGCCTGGCAGCAAAACTCCACATAGTAAGAGTATAGCTGTAATTCATATATCCTTCTTTCTTCCTTTTCTAATCTTTAATCTTCCCAGGTGACGTCCATTTCATTTCTTAGAGCCTTTAGGATGCCAGGGAATAAGAGTCAATTATACTCTTTCATGAGTTGGTGTTATTGTGTCACCTCTTATCTCCTTTGCCTTAGGTTTTGATTACAAGCTGGATTTTTTTAGGCAACCCATCACTCTCAACTCCCCAGAGCAGCATACAGCTGCTCGCAAAAAACGCACATGACAATTAGACGCTAATACATCTGTATTTGGAAATACTGCTCTCTGTCTGGTGCCTACCTAAATAAATGCATTTGGGAATGGTTTGGCTGTAATTGTCAGATGTGGAGAACCAGAGCCACAGGCAGCCATTTTTTCTGTAGTTGTTGGAGCCTCTCCTGACTGTAATTGCTGAAAATTACTGCACTGTTTCTTGCCATTTTAATAATGAAATCGCAAACAGTATAATAAGGTAAGCCCTCAAGTAGGCTTAATATGCTTAAAACAAATTCAACCCAAAATTCTGCTTCTCAAATCTCAGGAAAAACAAGCAGAAATTCCTGTCCCAATCTGTGTAGAACGGCTGCCCTGATGATTTTGCTCGATCATCCTGTTCTGTACAGCCCTTGTGCTCCCCAAGAGTGCAGCTTTGTTCTAATAGTACGCAGAAGGCCTGTGTTGAAATTGCCCCATTTGCTCCATTTCTTTGACAATAATCTCCTTGTAGCATTTTCAGCAATACGGTATGGATAGTCCTCAACTTACAACCATTCATTTAGTTGACGGTTCAAAGTTACGACAACATTGAAAAAAGTGACTTATGACTGTTTTTACACTTATGACTGTTGCAGCAGCCTCATGGTCACATAATCAAAATTTGGACATTCGGCGATCGGCATGTATTTATGACGGTTGCAGTGTTCTGGAATCATATGATCACCTTTTCTGAGCTGCTGACCAGCAAAGCCATTAGGGAAGCCAAATTCACATAACAACCATGTTACTAATTTAACAACTGCAGCGATTCACTTAACATCTGTTGCAAGAAAGTTCATAAAATGGGGGAAAACCCACTTAAACAACCGTCATGCTTAGCAATGAAAATTTTGGGCTTAATTGCGGTTGTAAGTCAAGATCTACCTGTACTTGTCCCTTGTTTCATTCTGAAAAACACAATGCAACTATCCCAAATTATTTCTCTGCACATGCTGAGCTTCTATAAGAGCTAATGGGGTGCTTGTAAAACATTGGGAGGAATTGTTGTGTTACCTCCTGCTGCAGAAATAACAACCACTCTTGCAGAACTTTAAAGACAAATGCATGCCTTATGACAAAGGGCACCATGGACTATCTTCAGTTTATGTAGCTAAAGAAGTGGGCTAGAGTCCTCGTAGCAGTATTTGAAATACCAGGGCACTTAACTGCTCTTTGAAATTATAGTTACAGACATTTCTCCTCCTGCCACTCTATTTGAGGGTCAGCGGTGCTTTGTTAACAGAAACATTTCTTCTGTAAAGCTGCATGCAATGGCTGGCAGATTCATTTGGCAGTTCTGTCCCTGAAAATAAGAATTGATATAAAGAGTGATAGTAAATGTTGTACACTCTACCAATAAATCGTATAATCATTGTTCATATTGAAACAGGGTGTACTGTTAAATTCCTCAGAAAATGTTAACAGCAGATCTTCAAGAATCACTTATTGTTAAAATTTTATTCATCTTTATTATTCATTTATTAACAGTCTCCACTTCTTCTATCTTGATCATTCTGTTTATTCCCTCCTCCAGCCTATGCAGACATACAAACCTGTACATATAATCTTTGAACAGAAGAAATGAAATACAAAAATAGCTAAAATGACTGCACACTCATTAAAGATACTAAATCTCTAAATCTTGCAACATAGACCAAGCAGGTGTATTGAGATAGCAGAAAATTTTATTTTCAGCAACCGAGATCCCCAAGAGAGCGAGAAGATTTGGCCCCCTTCTAAGCAAGATGCAGCAGGATAATAACAAATGCAAAAATAGACTAGTTGCTAAATTGTCTTTCTGTTAAAGTCAGTGGTAAAATACGTAAATGTATAATGCATGGGTACACAAGGTGCAGTAAGGTTCCATCTGTCCCCTGTTCCAACACTCCTGGCACTTTACTTTGCTCTCAAGAAGCAACAAATGGTAAGAGACACCCAGAGAGACGTTATACCCAGGGGTGGGCTGCTAGGGGTTCGCAGGGGTTCGAGAAAACCTCTAGTTAAGATTCTGTGCTGTTCGAAGAACCCCCAAATCTTGGCTGGCCCCGCTCACCCCACCCCTCCCAGGAGTCCCGATGCGGCCCGTTTTGGATGCAGGTAAGTGCAGGGCACGCACAGAGGCTCAGGGACGGCGAAAAACAGGCCTACTGGAAGTTCGTTTCCGGCCTCCAGAGGGCCTCCGGAGCCTGAGGAGGCAATTTTCGCCCTCCCAAAGGCTTGAGGAAAACCTCAGGTGCCCAGTGAAGGCAAAAACACCCACCCACCCGCCATGATGCAGGAGGCCAACTAGGCCACGTCCACCATGGCCATGCCCACCCAGCAACTGGGCAGAGAACCCATTGCTAAAATTTTTGAAGACCACCCCTGGTTATACCTTTCCGGAAGATCTAGTAAGAGACGCTTTCCAAAGGAAGAGATCTGGCAAGAGATTCTTTGCAAAAGAAGGTGTACAAACTCATTAATATTTTTGGGCATGTGCTAAGTTACACTGTTCAGAGTATGATAAGAAACAGTGTTTCTTATCATACAGTGTTTCACTGTGATAGGAGTTTTCAGTGCTTGTTCTCTGTATCCTAAGGATTTTTTTTTTCATCAGCCCTGGATTAGCAATACAGGTAGTCCAGTTTGCTTAGTGACTATTGAAAGTCAGAACAGCAGCACTGAAAAAAGTGACTTATGACCATTTTTCACGCTTATGACCATTGCAGCATCCCTATGGTTATGTGATTTACATTCGGCTGTTTGATAACTGACTGACCATTTATGATGGTTGCAGTGTCCCAGGGTCATGTGATCACTATTTGCAACCTTCTGACAAGCCAAATCAATGGGGAAACCAGATTCATTTAACAACCGTGTTACTAACTTAACAACTGCAGTGATTCACTTAACAAATGTGGCAAGAAAAGTCGTAAAATGGGGCAAAACTCACTTAACAAATTTCTCACTTAGCAACAAAAATTGTGGTCAAATGTGGTTTAAGTTAAGGACTACCTGTATTTTATAGACAACTTGAAAAAAGGGGTGCAGAGAATGCATGGTCCCTATTTCCTTGACATTTTTAAAAGTCTTTAACTGCTATATTACGTCCAGTGATAGTTTACTTGAAACCTATTTTGACCAAATACTAAAATAGCCCTACTGACCAGTTTTGTGGAAAAGGCAGGAAGCTTCAATACACACAATATAATTTTGTTTGATTAAAGGGTACCTTTCATTTGGAGGCCAATGCGAGGAAAATTTCTGTTCTCATCTAGAGTTTACTATAATGGGTATGTGTGCTGTTTCAAAGGAACTTGCTGAAATGACTTCTAAAAATACTTCGGAAGTGACAATGCATCATGCATAATCACACACAAATGTATTAAAAATAGAGACTAGGAAAAATACTAAATTGATTTATATCAGCAAAGACTTGTTGGATTCAAACTAAATATTTCCAGGCAAACTTTTAGCTGTGTAACATGGACGGTCAAATATTAGGCGTAGCCAAAGAAGCAATGGTTGAGAAATTTCATTTTTGCTAAATCCAATACAAAAAAAATGCTGATTTAAATAAAAAAAGGCAGATTAAAAAAACCCCAATGGTTTAATGGAAAAATGAATTAAGATGTGATTAAACATTACTGAAAAAGTTAACCCAGAAGGAAAGTTGAATGATTCACTCATCCCTACCTAACCTCAGGAAATTTATCATCCATGTTATGATTATTGCACATATGTAAGTTTTCCAGGAATCCTGCAAATGATTTAATTTTAAATTAAGATCCCCTTCTCTCTCTCTCTCTCTCCCTCCCTCCCTCCCTCTCTCTCTCTCTCTCTCTCTCTCTCTCTCTCTCTCCTCTGTCTCTGTCTCTGTCCTCTCTCTCTCTCTCTCTCTCTCTCTGTCTCTCTCTCTCTCTCTCTCTCTCTCTCCTCCCTCCCTCTCTCTCTCTCTCTCTCTCTCTCTCTCTCTCTCTCTCACACACACACACACACACACACACATCCCTTTATTTTTCATCTTTCATTCCTTAACCTCTATTTTAGGCACGGATCAGAAAATTTGGGCCCAAAATTTTACAGTTGTTAACAGAATGGACGGAAACATTTCCTTATGATTTTCAGGAAGAAAAGATGATTGGATGTTTGAAAGATATCATCCACCGGATAGCTCCATGTGATGAGGTGAGGATGATCACAGGTAGGGATATGCTGGGAATTTATATCACCAAGATAAATGGCAGGTGCTGGATGGATGGATGGATGGATGGATGGATGATGTGATGGATGGCAATGATGGGGTGTTATTAACTATTAGGAGCCACAGTGGTGCAGTGGTTAGAGTACAGGTACTGCAGGCTACTTCTGCTGACTGCCGGCTGCCTGCAATTTGGCCGTTCAAATCTCACCAGGCTCAAAGTTGACTCAGCCTTCCATCCTTCTGAGATGGATAAAATGAGGATTGAGTTTGTTGGGGGCAAGATGCTGTAAACCGCTTAGAGAGGGCTGTAAAGCACTATAAAGCGGTATATAAATCTAAGTGCTATTGCTATTACCTGTATCTAAATTGAATAATATTATTCTGAACAGATATTGAGATAGGGACGGTCAGACCTTTTCATGTTATTTCCAAAAGTTTTTTATGACAGATGCCTGTAAAAAAGGAAACTGCCCTATCCTTATTGACCACTGAAAGGTTTGCACAGGCTGGAGAATTTCCACAAATGGCGAAACAAATTTGTTGTAAAAGCAAGTTTCTAGATCAAATGATTTTGGATCTTAGGGAACTCATTCTTTGACCTTTGATATTAAACATTACTAATCAGATTTTGCTGTTTGGGGAAAATAAGACAGAAAGTTGAAGGACTAGGGCTTGGATCACTCTGCTCTTAGTACAAGAGCAGAGTGTACTTGACCATTATACTACATGATTCTCTATAGTGATATATAAGCTTATTTTATGTCAGGTTCCAAAAAATAAACAGACTGTGATTCTTCCAAACAGATGTCTTTATTGTTCCTCACCTATACAGTATCTTGCCAAACTAAAGCAAACTACCCCCTCCATAAATCATATACTATGGGAACTACTAGGGAGGAGCTGTCTTTACCTTCTTTCTCTCGCACAAAGTATTTGTACTGAATTGTCTCTAGAACAGGAGTCTCCAACCTTGACAACTTTAAGCCTGGAGCAAAGCTGACTGGGGAATTCTGGGAGTTGAAGTCCGCCAGGCTTAAAGTTGCCAAGGTTGGAGACCCCTGCTCTAGAATGCACCCTCTCCCACCTGGGAATCCAGACTACATTCCATCACAGATTTGCATCAGTAAGGAACTGGGCATAAGTGCTTAATTAAATCCTTTTCTCCATCATTATGGCTAGCAGCCTTAATCATATTCAATTAGTTATATCCTTTTTTGGCCCAGCTTGTATAATAGCAATGTTTTCTATTTTTTATTTATTTATGTATTTCAAGAGGTATAAAGCTTTTCAACTCAGACAGTATGACTCTGGGTGTTGTACAACATAAATACATAACATCAATTACCAAACAATCAATATATAAATAAAAATCTAAATATTGGGGTGAACTGTCTTAATCACTGTTAGAATTGATCCCTAATTGAATAATCTTTTGTATACCTAACAATAGCATTAGGATGCAATGCAATCTGTCTCCTCACCTATTTCTATCACAGTTATTTTCATAGCTGGTGGCTTTCATCTCATCCATCTGGCCCGCTTACCTAGTGATTTTCTGACAGCAGGAATGAGATGGAGAAGCGGTATAGATAGTTACTGCTTTTGAGGCTTGACATTCTTTTATGTTTGACACATGTTGATTCAGAAAGAACAGATAGGAAGGAAGGAACAAAAGAAAACAGTGATGAAAAGGCCCAGCTTTGTATTGCAACTCTTCAATCTCTTCAGTGTAACCATAGGAACATGCATAAAGAAGTGCATTTTCATTGGCTGCGAGCATGATTGTCTAGTTTTGGGGCTGCAGATATGGGTCTAGGATGATTGGCATTGTTAAACAGATTTGGCTGGCATTGATGGGGCCAAAACTGGGGAGAGAGGGAAAGAAGGACTTTGATTATTAAGAACTAAATGAGACGGGCTCCTCTGAATCCTTGATAGGACCATTTAAAAAAAAACAACAAATATACATTGCTATGTTTTTGAATTTGTTTGTATTATAACCCTGGAAATTGAGCAATTTATACTTCACTCATTGGGTAAATGAAAGAGAGTGACTAGAATGAAACATATCAAATTTATCTCATGCCCTTTTCTACATTGGCTTTCACTGACTACGCTTTCTATTCCTGCTGTTTTTCAGATGAAAGACAGACAGGGCTTCTTCTTAAGTACATTTAACTCTGTTTTTCTTCTCACTTTGCCAGTCTTATGGCAAGAAGGACATTTTTTAATGCTTTCCTTTTGGATTCTTTTTTCTATTATTATATACTCGTTATATGCTGTTTCTTGTCCCAATCTATGTAATTATCTGCTTTTCAAGCTTTTACCTCTTTCTACCCAACCTTTCTCATCCAATGGCATTTTAGAAGGATCATGAAATACTGACATATATTTTTGGTTTATTTAATTATTGTTTACTCTGCCACCAATAGAGGTGTTGGCATTCAGGTTTATTAAATTCTGATTTCCTATCCTGCTGAGTAAAATAAAAACATGTTAGTTTTCTGTTTTGGGTAAAATGACAGCCTTTGATTTACATCAAAGTAGGAGCTATGGGTGGTGAGCCTCACATGTGAGAGAAGGAACAGGAAATAAAATTTTAACAACCAGTAGTAGCAACAACAATGGGTACATTTTTAAAATGTGAGTTAGGTTAGCACAGAAGTCTTTTATGGCACATATGCACACATATTCATATATGTGCTGCAGGCACATATTCCTAAAATTGAGTTCCTTGGAAAAACTATTTATCCTGTGGATTTTTTGGGAATCAGGCCAGATATAGAGGCCAGCCATTAAACAGGATCTGTCAATCTGAACAAAGAAAGGATGCAAGCATAATTATGAGAGTTCAAAGGAAGCAAAATACACATACTGCCAAAGATTTATTTGCTGGGAGCTATTTGGGCAGAAAGAAACCCAGATAAAATAACACTTATTCCAATGATTTCTTTATGACTAGAACATCTAGCAAAACCAAAACAATACCTATCTACATGGCCATCTCCAGACAATACACAAAAAAATGAATTAACTATACTGATACAAGGAGATGGAAGAACTCAGTTCTAATAACAAAGACACAGCCAAAGGCCAAGGTCACAAACCACTCAGATTCAATTTCCAAACCAAGGTAAAACTGGAAAAGTAAACCAATTGGCTTCACACTTGAATGTTGGGCATCTACTCACCATTTTCAAGGAAAACATCAAGAATCACTTTGAAGTCTTGAACCTTAAGAGAGGCAACTAAGGAGCTGTGGGGTAAATCAAAGTCATGAAAGATAAACTATCAAAGTCTACAAATCAGAAGAAAGCAAACTCAATGTCAGTACATATTGGGAAATGACAGAAAGAGAAGAGAAATTAAAACCAAGAAAGACTAAGTTCTTAGGAAAGAATTTAATAAAGAATTTTGGAGAGCTGTCAGAAGAGTTAAAACAGTATTACAATGATATCTGTAGAGATAGGGAAACAATCATGGAAAAACAAGGAAAATTTCTCAAAAGCACTCTGGATTCAGAAGGATGTTCCAGTCTCAAACTGGAGTTTGAAGATATCAGACAGATAGTAACTGATTCAAAGAAGATAAAAATATGGAAATGGATTACTGAAATACTATACAGTAAATATGTCAATATTCTACATACCTTAGTGTTTCCTATTTCCAAAAATCCTTACTACTGAAAGATGATGTTATATTGGCATTCTGGTCATTACCATGTTGAAAGGCTCCATAAAATATATACACAACACAAAAATAGGCACCAAGAGCAGAAACAAGGTTCTAGCAAACCATGCTAGCAAATCCAAAGAATGATACAGCAGCCAACAAATGGAAAGAGTTAGTCTACCTATCAGTACCAAAAAAAAAGACTTAAGGTTGCAAGTACAGTACAACCTTCTTATCTTTTTGTAAGGGCCTGAAGATGTGGCTTGGGGCACCAGTAGGGGATCAGTGCAATGAAGGTGGTTGATTCAGTAATAACAGATCCCATCTCCCCCCACCCTCCCCCACATGTCTATTGTTTGTTTTTAACATTTTATGTTTTAGCTTTTATGTAACTGTGAGCCCCCCAGAGTTACCCTATGGTAAGATGAGCAGCCAATAATATGAATGAATGAATGAATGAATGAATGAATGAATGAATGAATGAATGATAAAATTTCATATATTAGCAAAACAATTCTTAGAAATCATCTGATGCAGGTTAGAGCCAGATGTTCTAGCTGACTTTAGAAAAGACAAACATGAGACATAATGTTGATACATGCTGGATCATTGAGATAGCCAAAGAATATCAAACAGAAGCCAACCAGCCTCTACTGCATTCCCTTCTTTCATTTGGAATAGCAGATATATTTGTGGGTTTTGAGTGTGTCACTTTCCTTGATCAAAATCAGTAGTTAATTGGCTTTGGCAGGCCTATGCTTATTTGAACAAAAAAGTGCAGTTCAGAATCAGATGTGCAGAAAAATCCTACGGTCATTGAATTCATTATCTCTCTTGCTGATAATACCTCGCAGCAATATTTTTTCCTGCTCGTGGTCTTATCCATTTCTTGAGGCTCCTTGCAGTGCTTAGAAAGGTATGTAGCATACTAAAAAGGTTCTCTCTTTTTTTTTTTGCCACGAGTTGTGCTTTGCATTTTGAAAGAAAAGACTTAATTAAAATGTGAATTCCTAAGCCGCCTGCTGGGGCTTGCCATCATCTTTAAATGCATTGTTACTTAAGAATGATGTGCTTTGGCTTAAAGTACAGAAAAGAAAAACAGCATCCATATTTTTTTCCCTGCTGTGATGAATACTTTCGTCTCATCATTCTGCCCACCCTGTCACTTTCTTCCCCAAACAGCATGGAATTTCTCTATTTTGGTTTAATAACATTAAATTAATTAGATTATTCTACATCTAGTGCTTTAACATTTCTGATCTGGATATTAAATTTTTTTAAAATGAAATTGGATTTAATAGGATACCTCTAC